TGGCATAGCACAGGTCTCCCAGATAGAAACTCAACAAAGAAACATCAAAGTTAATTTGAAGTATAGAATAAATGAACCTAAAAAAAATTTAACAAACATTTCATCCAATGGTTACAGAACACATATTCTTCTAAGCGCATGAATCATTTTCAAGGATACACCATGTTAGGCTCAAAACAAGTCTTACAACATTCAAAACAATTGAAATAATATCAAATATATTCTCTGATCAAAATGGAATAAAACTAGAAATCAAGAACAAGAGGAATTTTGGAAACCATACAAACATGGAAATTAAATAGTATGTTCCTAAATGGCCAGTGGGTCAATGAATAAATAAATAAGTAAATTTTAAAATTTCTTGAAACAAATTAAAATGGAAACACAAAATAGCAAAACGTATGAGATCCAACAAAGGCAGTACCAAGAAGAAAGTTTATAGCAATAAGCACTTACATCAAAAAAGTAGAAAGTTTCAAATCAACATGACAATGCATCTTAAAGAAAGCAAGAGGAAACCAAGTCCAAAATTAGAAGAAATAAAGATCAGAGTAAAAATAAAATGAAATTGAGACAAAAAAAGAAAAAAATACAAAACATCAACAAAATGAAAAGCTGGTCTCTTGAAAAAATAAACAAAATTAACAAACACTTAACCTAATTAATAAAGAAAAAAATAAAGAGAAGACACAGATAAATACAATCAGACATGAAAAAGGAGACATTACAACTGATACTACAGAAATTCAAAGGATCATTAGAAGCTACTATAAGCAACTATATGCCAATAAATTGGAAAACATGGAAGAAATGAATAAATTCCCAGATACATCCAATCTGCCAAGATTGATCAATGAAGAAATCCAAAACCTGAACAGATCAATAATAAAAGAGAAGCAGCAAGGATGGTCCAACATAAGCAAATCAGTGTGATACATTATATCAGCAGAATGAAGGACAAAAATCATATGATCATTTCAAATGATTCTGAAAAAGCATTTGATATAACTCAATATCCCATCAGGGTAGGAACCCTCAAAACACTGGGCATAGAATGAACATATCTCAACATAATAAAAGCCATATATAAGAGATCCACATTTTATATCATACTGAAGAGGGAAAAACTAAAAGTCTTTCCTCTCAGCCTGGAACACAACAAGGATGCCCACTTTTACCACCATTACTGAATACAGTGCTGAAAATCCTAGCTAGAGCAATCAGAGAAGATAAGAAAATAAAAAGCATCCAAATTGGAAAGAAAGAAGTCAAATTATCCTTGTTTGCAGATGATATAATCTTATATTTAGAAAAACCTAAAGACTCCACAAAAACTATTAGAACTGATAAACAAATTCAGTAAAGTTGCAGATACAGAGTCAATACACAAAAATGAGTAGCATTTTTAGGTGACAACAGTGAACAATTTGAAAAAGAAATCAAGAAAATCATCCTATTTACAATAGCTGCAAATGAAATAAAATACCTAGGAATAAACTTAACCAAAGAAGTAAAAGAGCTCCACAATGAAAACACTGATAAAAGAAATGGAAAAGGACACAAAAAAATGGAAAGGTATTCCATTTTCATATATTGGAAGAATCAGTATTGCTAAAATGCCCATACTACCCAAAAGCAATCTACAGATGCAACAAATCACTATCAAAATACCAATCTCATTCTTCACCAAAATAGCAAAAATGATCTTAAAATTTAGATAGAATCACAAAAGACCCAGAATAGTCAAAATTATACTGAACAAAAATTACAAAACTGGAGATATCACATTACCTGATTTCAAGTTATACTACAAAGCTATAGTAAACAAAACAACATGGCTACTGATATAAAAACAAACTCAAGAGACCAAAGGAACAGCACAGAAAACACAGAAACAATTTCATGAGCTTACAGTAAACTCATTTTTGATAAAAGTGCCAAGAACATAGGTTGGGGGAGGACAGTCTCTTCAGTAAAGGCTCCTGGGAAAACAGAATATCCATATTCAGATGAATAAAACTAGATCCCTATATCTTACTATATACAAACATCACATCACAATGGATTAAATACTTAAATCTAAGACCTCAAACTATGAAACTACTAAAAGAAAACATCAGGGAAACCCTCCAGGACATTGGATGAGGCAAAGGTTTCTTGAATAATACTCCACAAGCACAAGCAGCAAAAACAAAAATGACAAATGGGATCACATCAAGTTAAAGACCTTCTGCACCAAAAGGAAACAATCAGCAAAGTGAAGAGACTACCCACAGAATGGGAGAAAATATATTCAAACTATCCATCTGACAAGGGATTAATAACCAGAATACATAAGCAGCTCAAACAACACTATAGGAAAAAAATGTAATAACCTGATTTTAAAAAGGGCAAAAGATCTGAATAGACACTTCTCAAAAGAAGACATTCAAATGGCCAACAGGTAGATGGAAAGGTGCTCAACATCACTGATCATCAGAGAAATGCAAATCAAAACTATATAATCTCACCTCAGTTAAAGTGGTTTTTATCCAAATGACAGGCAATAGAAATTCTGGCAAGGATATGGAGAAAAGGGAACTCTTTTCTGTTGGTAATGCAAATTAGTATAATCACTATGGAGAACAGTTTGGAGGTTTCTCAAAAAACTAGAAGTAGAACTATAAGATCCAGGAATCTCACTGCTAGTTGTAATACGGAAAGAAAGGAAATCAGTATATTAAAGAGATATCTACACACCTATGTTTATTGCAGCATTATTCACATTAGCTAAGATTTGAAAGTAACCCAGGTGTCCATCAACAAAAATTGAATGGATAAAGAAAATGGGCTACATATACACAAGAGAGTACTATTTAGCCATAAAAAGAATGAGATACGGTCATTTACAACATGGATGAAACTGGAGGTCATTATGTTAAATGAAATAAGCCAGGCAGAGAAAGACAAATTTTGCACATTCTCACTTATTTGCAGAAACTAAAAACAATGAAAACAATTGAACTCCTGGCAATAGAGAATAGAATCGTGGTTACCAGAGTTTGGGAAGGGTGATGGCGGGGTCGTGGGGGGATGGAAAGCGAGTATGGTTAATGGGTACGAATATATAGTTAGATAGGATGAATAAAAGCTAGTATTTGATAATACAACAGGGTAACCACTGTCAACAATAATTACACACATATGTACATTATGACATACATTATATAATTACACACATTATGTACATTTAAAAATACCTAAAAGAGTATAACTGAATTGTATGTAATACAAAGAAAGGATAAATGCTTGAGGCAGGACACCCTGTTTACTCTGATGTGATTATTATACATTGTATGCCTGTACCAAAATATCTCATGTATCCTATAAATATATACCCCTACTATGTGCCCACAAAAATTAAAAACAAAAAATTTCAAATAGCTGACTACATTTTAAAAATAAAATAAAAATAAATTCTATATTCTATATGTATTAATGACTCAGTTGGGAAACAAAACCCAGGATACTGTATATACTATCTAGGAATGGGACTACTTTAATAAGACTCCTTATAAACAATAAAAGGTAATTATTGATTATACCTAAATAAAAAAGTTTGAATGGTAAAATTTACCATAAAAAGTCAATAGATAAATTATGCATTAGAAAAAATTGACTATAGAATATCAGTACTGTATAAAATCTGCTGCAAAATTATCAAGAAAAATTCCAATAATGCAATAGAAAATTTCCAGAATCTACAAATAGGTAGTTCTCAGGAAATAAAATAAAAATACATGATTATTTTAAATTTTATCTGATTTTAAAATTTTTATCTGTTGCATACTGCTATAAAATTAATGTGATGACTTATCTTCTCTTCCAACACTAGCTTCTCTCCAGATTTCCCTAGTCTGTAGTATGCTCCCATCATTAAAGACTCCCAAGCACAGGTGCTTCAGAGCCCTTTCTGACTTCCTTTTCTTCCGTGTTTAGTCAGACAGATGTTCACCGCCCCCCACCCCGGGTCTTGGGTAGTTATCTCAACCCTGATTCTATCTCAGCCTTCCCACTGGGCCACAGAGAAGGTTAAATAGATACAGTGGGACAAGCATGAGCACCAGATTTGCTTTACTCTCTTCCATTTACTAGGTATGTAGCACCAGGCATGATACTTTGTGGGCCTTGGTTCTCTCCTTTATAAGATGGGATAATTATACCTGCTTTTCATGGTCACTGTGAGAACAGATAGAAGTAATTCATATAAAGTGTCTAGCACACTTAGGACTTTAAAAATGTGAGTTCCCTTCCCTACTTCATCTTCTTATGGTTAGTCTTGGGGTTGGGAAACTGGCAAATATATTTTCTAAATGGCTACCTGGCTCCAGTGTCTTGATGTTTGAAACACCTCTATCCATTACTAACAGATTAATGGTTCTAAAACACTGCTTTTGTGATATCATTCTCCTGATTACCTATTTTATTGATCCCTTACTGCCTTCAGGGAAAATTACAAACCCTTTACCTTTACTGTCAAGACACTCATTCCTCTGAGGTGAAGACAAATTTTAAAACCTTGCCCAAGATCCTTCAAACACTTTTTAATTTTTTAATTTGGAAAAATGAAGGACTGCCTAAAAATCTGGATTCACTTTTAGAAGGAAACATAGGAAAGCATAGATTTATCAAAGTAAATTCCACTTTATTTTTCTGAAATCTTACATTGCAGTTGAAATGCCTTTTATATACCTACTTAAGCAACTTAAGCGGATTAATGTAAGATTTCAGAAAAATAAAGTGGAGTTTACTTACCACACTAAATGGCAAAACTGGAAAGGATGACAGCAACTATTGACTACAGGCACAGTTACCAGCATGGTGATGCTAATAATTAGGTATATTTGCATCTCAAAAAAATTAAAACAAGATTTTTTTGTAATTATAAGTAAAAATTTAAACATTTCCTCATGTAGTTATATAACTAGTCACTAAAAACAGCAAAAAAGTCTTCTCTTTACCTAGTACTTCTTTCTGCAAATCACAGCATCTGGTTTGCAAGTTTACTTCCTGTTGTCTAGATGTCTGAATCTGCTGAGACCTCAATATGGCTGCATCTGACAACAATTTCAGATTTTTCATTTCCTTTTCAAGGCATACATTATTTCTCTGGGATACGGTCAAACTTTTATTCAGTATGTCTATTTCTGTAAAAAAAATTCAAAGTTTACAAATAGGCAATAATTGAATCATAAAACATTTCTCTAAGGATTGATTAGTTTCTTTTAGAAAATTAATAGTTGAAAGGCAAGATGACATTTGTGAGATTATAATGACATCTAACTAAAAAGTTAAATTTAAATTCAGTAGTCATTCTGAAAATGAGAAAAAGGAGTTTTATTGCTACATGATGCATGAAATCTTTTAGCAGTATTGTTTTTAGCTTTTAGATTGTATTAAGTTAATACAACTTGCTTTGTAAATACTCATATAAATGAATAATATAAGATCTGTGTAATGTTCCTGGTTTTATTGAAAATTTTTTTTAGGCAACATGATTAAGAAAAGTAAATTTAAATGTGCTAGCATGAGCTGGTTGGGTGGCATTTCTAAGGGATTAACTAGAAGGTTGTAGTGTCTAATAAATTTATGGGCAAAAAGCATTAGTTAATAATATCTTAATGATTGTAATAGTAGTATGTTCCCCCCCACAAATAAGACCAGAATTCATCATAATAATTATGTCATTATTCTCTCTATTTAGATTAAGTTTAATAAAAATATGTCTTTATAGCTCTACTTAGATTTAAATGTGCTTATTTTATATAATGTCATGAGAAATGCATGGAGCATATTATCCTTCAGAAAAATAATTATCAAGCTCCACCTTCATCAGTCTTTTCTGCACTATTGCCTTAAACTATCATTAAAACACATGAACACACACGCCACAAAGATAATACTACTGTAAAATTTGTACAACGAAAATTCATTGAATTTATGAGCATGTGATTTACATGAAAATTTGGACAGTCTGCTTTTCCAGACATTTCACTTAGAATTCCCTTCCTTGGTTAGTCCATCCTGGACTATGTGATAGGTTCAACATGTGATGAGATGTCAAAAATGGTTAGCTTCGTTTATTGCTCTTGGTGCCATCACAGCAGAAACAGCACCCACATGGACCAGTGAAGACCACAAGCAGAGATACATAGGATAGACATGCAGTAGAGGTAACATGGCCAGCAAATGGTTATAGGAGAAGTAAAGCAGTAAGCTAGAATAGAGCACAGAAATGAGAGCATGTTTTATGGGATCATGATGAGGAGGATCAGGAATGTAGTACACGGAGAGAAAAGTTTCCATGGATAGAAAGCATGTTTGGGAGTAAAAGTGGTATTTGTGATAGACCTGGGGAATAGGCACAAGAGGTCTGGCACCTTCTCTACGTTTTTAGTTCCTGCTCAAAATGGAAAACGTAGAGAAGTAAATTGGCAGGAACCAAATAAGTATGATTCTACTATAGTCCAGTGATTATTTTATGTGGCAATTGTTTTCCTCAAAATAGCTATATGCTGCTAAAAACTTGACTACGCACCCATTTGTGTGAGGAAAACTACTAACACAGTATATAAAATTTTTTAAAAGAATGAAGTTAAAGAAAATAACGGGGTTACAATTTCCCTACATACATAAAAAGTCTTTCTGGGTATTTTTGTAGCCAAAAAGGTGACTTCTTAAGGCTGAATAAACTAAAACATACCATAGCCATATATCTTTAAGTCAAAATGAAACTGCACAGCAGCACACACATGCTGTCACCTATTTATCATTTGCCAAAATTACACTGCTTAGGTTAGCAGGCTGACTCTGTTAGCATATACTACACTCTAAAATAACTACGCATGTCAATGTGACTTTCTATTTGACATTAAAAGAATAAAAATTTGCAATACAAATTTATTTGTAAAATATATTCTAAGACATGGAAAAGTACATCAAGATTTCAAAACTAACAGAAGCTACAACATTCCTAATAAGACGTTACGAAAAAGTAAAATGGAGATGAACTAACTTACTTTTGCAAACTAAACACTCCTGTACCTGTGGCGATCCTGGTATCAAAGATTCAATTCTACCCTTGCCATTATGCAATTCCATACTTGTCAGACACGTGTCCCAATTTGGGGTTCAGGAATTAAGATCCCCACAAGGTCAACCTATATTGGTCATTGTATCCACCTTGAACCTTTCCTGTCTCAGCACCACCCCATGAAGAAAGTCCTCCTATCCTCATATGTTCAGCTGTATGTTACCTCTGTGCAGAAGTCTTTTCGGATCTGATCTGGATGTGATCTTCATCTTCCTGGAACTCACAGCAATTTACATCATTTGTATTGCACTGATCATATGCATACATGTGATGTACTATTGGACTGTAAGTTATTTTAGACCATAGATAATATTCATTTCTATTTCCCCCAATGTCAAGTCTGACTGGCAGACTGAGTGACGGATTAAAGAAGTGCACAGACATAGGTGTTTTTCCTGTCCGAGCATGGCCAGGGAACCCCATGGCTCACAGAAGACCAAAAGACTGGAATCCGGCCATGGAGCCCCCACGTGCTAGAGAGGCTCATATTTATTTTAGAATAGATTTAATGACAAAGGTCTCAAGTAAACACCACTAGTGGGTAATTAACCATGCTGATCTCCCACTTCCCAAGCAGAGAGCAGTTCTGCACGAGGATAATCAAAGGTCTTAGGACAACATGGGTAAACTAAACACTCCTGTACCTATGGTGATAGGAACCCACTTAGATAAACTTTTACATTCCTTTCTACCTACTCCTTGCCTAATTGCCTCTGGGTAAGGACAGTCACCTTATGCTCATTCCTTCCAGAAGCCTTGCAATACCTCTCGGCCTTCCAAGAAGGTCTGCATCTTTCTTATAGTTTTTACTATCACCCTGACCAATTTCTGACACTCCCTAATTTCTACCATGATGTTTTAGGATTAACAAGAGCTCAATAAATACCTAATAAATGAATAAAGGCATTGCTGAGCAAAGCTTCTAAATTGATTTTAATATACTACTAGTTCCTGAATATGTGTTTATCTCATCCTTCATTTCAGAGGTAGGTATTCTGAATACACATTTTTTTTTAGTTGATTAAAAAATTTATTTAACATTGGTAACTAACAAAAGATTGAACTCACATTTTTAAATGTCAAAGTTAGGCAGTTAAAACATACATCCAAAGAAACATTTTTGATTGAACAAACTGATCAATTCTATCTATCCCTAATTTCATCACTTTTGTGAAAAACATGGACTACATTTCTAAGCCTAATTCTAGATCTGAATTTTAAAAGTTCAGTCAATAGTTGTTTTGGGAGTAGAATTAACCTGACAAATACTCTGCCTTGGTAAAAAATATTTTTCCTTAAATTCCTTTTATTAAAATAAGTATGCTCTTGTTTAAGAAAATTTCATCTATAAAAACTTCAGTTTAAAAATATTGATTACATAAAGTGATATTCATTTGCTGGAAGAATAGGAAATATTTTACTCATACCTGCTACTCAATAGTTAGCACACATTATCAGCAAGAAAATATTAAGCAATTCCTTTTCTAGGAATGTTGTTTCTGTTTTGGACTTTGATTTTAAAACCTAACTTAATTTTAACATGCAAATCTTTAAAAGGAGCTGACTAATATTGTTCAGTATGTAGAGGGTTTACTACATTTATTAGTTTGCTAGGACTGGTGAAAGAAAGTACCATAGATTAAGTGGCTTAAACAACAGAAATTTATTTTCTCACAGTTCCAGAGACTAGAAGTCTGAGATCAAGATGTCAGCAGGATTGGTTCCTTCTAGGATGGTGAAAGAAGGATCTGTTCCAGGTCTCCTTGGCTTGCAGGTGGCTGCCTTTTCCCTGTGTATTCACATGGTGTCTGCGTACAGAACTCTTCTTCTTACGACACCAGTCAGATTGGATTAGGGGCTACCCTGATCACCTCTTTAAAAACCTCACCTCTAAATAGAGTTACAAAAGGAGGTACTGGAGATTAGGACTTTAACATTTTAATATATGAATTTGGGGAGGAGGACACAATTCAGCCCATCACACTATATTTTAGAATATTTGTTATTTATAATGTTTGTACTATTATCAAAATACATGTTTTTAGCTTTTAGAGTAAGTGGTAATAAATAATTCACTAGCGAATGCAAGTACAATTATTACTATTAGCCTTATGCAATCAATTTATTTACCTTGATTAAGTTTTTTTGTTTTTCTTTTTTGTCCTGTGAGCTTAGGCAAATGAACTCAAAATTATGTTAGTTTGTTATATTATTAGGAAATTTCTATAATCTTATAACCAAACATTCTGATATTACAAACACAGTGTGATTAATTCACAAAACTTCACAGTTTTATTACAATAATAGGGAAAAGGACTCAGTGACTAGATTTACTAAAGAAACAAAAAACTGTACACAACTTAAAAACAAAACAAAACAAAACAAAAATACTAAAAGTCACCAGGCGCAGTGGCTCATGCCTGTAATCCCAGCAATTTGGTAGGCCATGGTGCGTGAATCACCTGAGGTCAGGAGTTCAAGACCAGCCTGGCCAACATGGTAAAAGCCCATCTCTACCAAAAATACAAAAATTAGCTGAGGGTGGTGGCATGCGCCTGTAGTCCCAGCTACTCAGGAGGCTGAGGCAGGAGAATTGCTTGAATCTGGGAAGAGGAGGTTGCAATGAGTAGAGATCATGCCACTGCACTCCAGCCTGGGCAACAGAGCAAGACTCCATCTCAAAAAAACAAAGAAAAAAACTAAAAACTTTTTATTTTGAAATAAGTATAGCTTTACAGAAAGTTGCAAAGAAGTGTGTAGGGAGTTCCTATCCAACCTTAACCCCACCTCACTTCTCCCCTTGTTGACATTTTGTACAACTGTAGCATACTATGAAAAGAAAATTGCACTGGCAAAATCCACAGAACTTACTTCAATTTTACCAATTGTATATACACTCATGTGTGTATGGGTGTATGTGTGTATGAGTAGTTCCATGCAATTTTATCATAAGTGTAGCTTCATTACATATCACCACAGTCAAAATACAGAATTGCTCTATTACCACAAAGCTGATCTTTGCCATCCCTTTATAGCCAAACCTACCACTATCCC